CAAGCATGGGTTACTGAAGATCAATTCCAACCCGGACCTTCACGGGTGAGGGTGATTTGAGGCCACTTTGAATGATATTGCTTTCATATCAGATAAGGCAGGAAGAAAGGTAACAGTGATTCAAGTCAGACGTCTATAACACTTCAACCAGCTCTGTACAGCAAACTAAGGTTATTACAAACTCAACGGAACCACTAAGTTTAGTTCATTACAAGTAACCGTAACTCATCATGTGAATTTTGACTAACATATACACCAAGTAGCTGGGACCCCAAAACAGTTTGATGTGTTTCATCAGCTTGTTGTAAGTATGTTTGTTATAACCGTAGATTACTTAATAATGTGTCCGATTGGGATATTCATGTCAAACTGTGGCCAGGACCTGATTTTTCGAAACAAACAGAAGTTATTACTCAACTTTCAAACTGAGTTTGACAATTTGAAACAGCAGAGTTTCTAACTCAGTAGCATTTCTAAAATCAAAAAGCCAGAAGAACAACATCTACTAAACTCAAATTGTTTACGAAGTCTTATTTATATATAGATTTCATTTAATTCTGGGAAATATATTTTTCAGCATTTTCTTCTGTATAATGATTATTAGTAAAATATCTAAATTAAGTCAAACCTGAGACTTTAGTTTGTTTTGACAAACTGTGGCCTGGTATGTCAGTATTTGTCCACATTAGTTTAAGCTCCCACAGACCGACATGTGCATGTATATTGGTGAGACAGAGAGTATGGTTTTACACCGCTTTTAGCAATATTCCAGCAATATCATGGCAGGGACACCAGAAATGGGCTTCACACATTGTACCCATGCGGGAAATCGAACCTGGGTCTTAGCCGTGATGAGCGAACGCTTTAACCTCTAGGCTACCTCACCTCCTCAGTGTGTATGTATGTAGCCAAATACATGCAACAACCTTCAAGCCGACATTCTGTTTGATACCAGCATAGAAATCGCCACCTGTTCCCGTAAATGTACTGAATGAAATACACCAAGCCGTCCCACAATACATCTGTGGGTCACGGGTATCACATCTGCCCACAATTACTGGCAGATGACAAAAATATAACTTACTAACTACATCTATGTTTCAATTCACAATTTTTCAACATGATAAATATTAGAGAAGTTTGCATTCAAAAACCATCAAAGATGGGTTTTACAAATACCCACTAGCCATGAAACAAGTGCTCAGAATGATGCCACCAGATGGGTGGAGCAGCCATATTGGACCAGGCAACTGATCACTTTCACAAACAACAGTGAGTGACAATTTGTATCACACAACAAACCAAACTGTCAATACTCGGATACTGATTGACTATAGCTTGACAGATGGCACAGATCAATACAACTCTCCAATGGTCTTCCTGGACAGGTGTTGTGCTAGTCTGTCTCACAGTCCCTGAACCACATTATTTTCCCTACTGCCAAGCCTCTCAGCAGTGCTAAAGCCCTAAATAAAGCAAGTCTAGATATCCTCAGGTTCTGAATCTCTGGTCTCCCTTGGGCTCCTTTTCAACTTACATGGGCTTGTTTGTTACTATCAAAATTATATATACGGATTATCGGGGTCCGGACTAACGGGGCTTCACTGTATTCAGAGACTAAGCATTAGTCTAGTGTTTTACATGTGGGAAGGTGGAACATCAACCATGCCAAGTTTACTTTCAGGAAACTTAAGTCAAATGTTAAACAAAATGTACTGGGACTTAGTATAATATTGCTGACCTACACAAACATGGCAATAATCCTGTGTCGCAATGTATGTCTTAGAAATCAAAGAGTAGACATCCAGAATCTGTGACCTGGATTTGGTGTGTGAGGTGTGTGCGTGTGATGTACAAGCGCAATACATCTAACAAGCATGCATGTGTGTGCAAGCGAGTGAGAGATGTGTGATGTCTGTGTGTAGTGGGGAGGGAGGATATAAGTGTGTGTGTGGGGGTGGGGTGGGGTTGTGTGACAAGGGCATGGGGAAGGTGGTTTAGAGGAGAGATGACGATAGGCCATAGGTGAGTTAAGAGGACATAAAATAAATTCAGCTTGGTTGATATTGGGTGAGGTAAGTCAAGTGTGAGTGAGTGAGTGAGCTGAGTGAGGTTTGATGCTGCTTTTAGAAGTATTCCAGCAATATCGCTGCAGGGGACATGAAATGGTCCTTACTCATTGTACCCATGTGGGGAATCAAACCTGGGTCTTAGGCGTGACTAGCGACATGGTGTATTGACAAATAAATTGTATTGCAACACATTTCGAATCAGGTACCCGTATTGCGATGCGGATTACAATATATGGGGAACTTAAGTGTTTGACAGTGAGTGACACTAATTGCGCATGTCAATCTTACTTTCTACATTACATGTCCCTAAACATATATGTTATAGTTCTGATAACAGTAATCTTAAAATTAGGTGGCATAGTCAGGGATTTTCCTTTTCATACAATTTATACTATTACAGTATGCTGTTCTGTCATTGAATAACGAAGGAAAACATTTGCTGTGAATGAAAGTCTGTGTAGATTTTAATTTAAATCATAAAGATATTCATAAAAACTTTATACATGTTCTTTGCCCAATATACTGGTTCTCTGAAAAATATACGTATCGTCTGAAAAGCGTATTGCGATATACTGCTATACCGGCAATACCGTGCAGTCCTAGGATCGAGACAAGGTGAGGTTGGGGAAGGGTTGCATTACAAGGTTGTGGGATAAGGAGGGTGGGATAAGGAGGGTGGGATACAAGTTGTACTTGGGGTTGGGCTGGTGGGTGGAAGTGGAGTTAATTTTGACGAGGTTGCATTATGGGATGGAGTTGGGCTATAATTGAGCGGGTTTAGTTTTACGCCACTTTCAGCAATATTCCAGCAATATCATGTCAGGGGACACCAGAAATGGGCTTCACACATCGTACCCATGTGGGGAATCGAACACGGGTCTTCCGCGTGACGAGTGAATGCTTTATCCACTAGGCTACCCCATCACCCTAATTGGTCTGTAAGGTGGGTGGAGTATGAGAACTGAGATGGGGTTAGGTACACAAGATGGCATCCTCGATAATCTCCAGGGTATACGTTATGATCATCTCCACTATACCCTGGATGCATCCACAGCTTGGCCCGGTAACTTTATAACCTCCCTTTGCTGACTCTGCATTCTTACTGTAGCCAATCAGCTAAGCCGCCGTTACATCCGAGCTTGCCAGTGTCAACAAAGATAGCGGTCGCAGTTGTGAAGGTTTGTTCGCAGTGCCACTCAGATTTTGGGGGAAATAATACAGACAAATTGACAGATCTGAAACTTTAAAATAATATATGAAAGAACTCCTTCTACCTCATTCAGAGTACCTGTGCATCACTTGTGTTGCCAAATTTAAGTGGTTATATAATTTAAGAAGCGAAACTGAGTTGTGATTGGTTCGCTCAACTTCCCAGCGTAGACACCTGATTGGATAAAAAGCCAGCAAAGGGAGGTAATAACATTATCGGACCAAGCCGTGGATGCATCCAGGGTATAGTGGAGAGTGATCGTAACGTATACCCTGGAGATTATCGAGGATGACAAGATCGTGGACAAGTGAGGTTCTGTGATCAGGAGGGTTTGCAAAATGGTATGCTTTTAGAGTAGGACGTGAGGAAGAACAGAAGTGATGAAAAAACCAAGGTACGACATGGGGTTGGGAGACAAGAAGGAGGGGTGTGGGTGGCAATTGTTGGTACATAATGTAACATAGAAGACAAAAACGGTATATAAATTTTGATGACAGAAGTCTTGACACTTGTTTATCTCAAACAGAACTGATACAGATTATATCAATCAATTAGACCGATCACAAAGAGATATGTAAATCATCAAGTCTGGATCAGACAATCCAGTGACTGACATATCATGACATCAGTCAGTGTGATATATTGGAAGATGTTAACGCACATAAACAAAGTGAGTGATCCTGACAACCTGATCTCTTACATCTCCAAGCTCTTAAGACAATATTACATGTGAAGAAAAGAATTTGTCTTCAGCAAACCCATGCTTGTCGTAAGAGGCGACTAACAGGATTGGGTGGTCAGGCTCACTGACTTGGCTGACACGTCATCGTATCTTAACTGTGTAGACTAATGCTCATAATGTTGATCACTGGACTGTCAGGTCCAGACTCGATTATTTACAGACCGCTGCCATATAGCTGGAATACTGCCGAGTGTGGCGGGAAAAAACAAACAAACAAAAAAATCTTAAGAAAACACTGGTAGCAGAGGACCAATTCTAACCCAGATATTCAGGGGTCAGATCTGGAAAATAATGCAAATGTTTCAAAGTGTCAAAGCTGAATGTAATTAATCTTGTCCACTGACATTCTTGACACTTTAATAACACTGACAAAAGAAAACAACAACAAATTCCTGCCAATAAATGAGCTGGATGATATTTCACGTCTTAAGAGAATAGGTAAACTTGCACAAGTCACCATGGTAAAAAATAATAGTACAAATCATAATTTCTCAAAAAAATAATAAATAACAAACTATACGATTATCTAGACTTGCTCTTCGAAGGGTAGAAGTACTATACATCCATGGGTTCAGCTTTCAGTACTGCCTTAGCGCAAGGCTAGAGAATAGGTTACTATATATCAACCTTAGCTCAAATAATGCAAGTTCGAAATGGCAAATTAATTTGACACACCAGATACCAAATGTTGAATTAATAATTGGAGCAAAATATTTTATTAACAGAACTGAACACGTAGAAACAACCTATACAATATCTGCAGGGCGAAATTGCTGGAACTGAACATGCCTGTAGCGTGTTCAATGGGTACACGCAGTTGTACAGCTTGTTAGCACAACGTCAACACAGAGCCGGCTGTCGGCGAGATGAAATTGTCACATCGACCGGTAACTTCAGCCGTACTATTTTATCCACTGCCGAAACATTACCACATTTTCACTACGCCAGGAGCATGGTTAGGTTTTTAGTACCTTACCTGAAGCTGAACGTCGCGCAGAGTGACAGACGAACGCGAGGGGCAGTCGATTTATAAGGCCACACTCACGCCACTTTGTGATCTACACAGCATAGCCGTGCGTGTCGCATCAGCCGATGTTGGTATGACCCCTGACCCAGCTAAAAATAGAAGCACGGCGGCTTCCGAAACGGCAGATCATGGCAGATGTACATTTATGGTGATATTTCAGATACGAATTATTCGCCCACTGTGTCATGATCAATAAATTACAAAAATGACGAAAGAGAAAAGATATTTACCTGATAGAAATCCTGAACTGGCTGTCGTAACCAAAGATACGGTTTTCGTGAAGGCTGTTCTCATTTCCTATACATACCTAAGAGGTATTCAGTCGGACAGGACCTTTTTCCCAAATGCTATTATATCATAGTTTATATATCCCAACAGACTAACATCTAGTCTCTGAAATGAACATATTTTACAGAAAAACAATGTTTATAAAAAGTGATAACAACATAGAATGAAAAGGAGCCCAGAGACTTTCCTGCAACTGTGAAAAAATAGACCTGGCACATATTCTAGACTTGCATGGGCTTTCTTGGATATATATGTTTCAGGGTCTGTATGACAGACTACTAACCCAACTGCCTAGATAGATGCTCATGCTGTTAATCACTGGATTATCTGGTCCAGACTATCATTTACAGACCGCCACCATATAGCTGGAATATCGCTGAGTGCGCGTAAAACTAAACTCACTAGCCTATAGTTTAAATGACCAAATATGGTCAATGGGAAAGAAACACAAGTGTTTCACAAAAGGAAAGATGATTTGGTATATTTATAATAGAGTAAAATCTTATCAAGGGAGAAATCGTGTACCTTATCCTCTGTTGTACATATTCTCCATTTTAGTTTCTCTTTTCTTCTTCCGGGGCGGTGGGGTAGCCTAATGGTTAAAGCGTTCGCTCGTCACGCCGAAGGCTCGGGTTCGATTCCGGCGTAAAACAAAACTCACTCACTCACTCACTTTTCTTCTTCCAGATGTTACGTTTAACATAACCTACTGTGGTGTTTACATAAAGCGTATTATTTGAAGAGACAAAGAGAATAGTTCCCGAAAATGCCGAAAAATGGAATCTGCTAAAAGAAGTACTCGTTCACCGGACAGGATGAGTATTCATTGTCTTGTGGGTTCAAAACCGCTGTGGCTTTTCTTTTCCTCAGATGATAACAACAGACAGTTGTGTGTTCTGAAGCTCTGAGTAAACATATAGCGAGTCTGAAACAAAACAAACAAACCACAACAAAAGTTTAAACCCCTAAAAATGTCCGATCGCACCACGTCACATTCAAGGTGGACACGCGACGTCTACTTGCTGTTCACTTCTCTGAGTGGCATTATAGAAGTTGGAAAGTACAATACGGACAGACTATGGTTCACAAACTCTTTCTTCCGTGTGTGCGACGTTTCCATACAGAATCCTGTACCGCGACACCGCGACAATGTCCCTTCCAGGATTCCATATTATGTACCTTTGTTAGGGACCGTTCATATTTTTGGCTTGAGAGGGTGATGATGATTTTATGGAGAAAAATGACAACCCCCTTAAAAAAATAAATATATAAAATAATAATTTAAAAAAATAAATAAATATGTACAAAATAAGTGGACCTCGCCCCTTGTATGTCATGTACAAAATTGCAGAAACACCCCCACCCCATTACATGTGTACAAAATTGCTAAAATCCCCAAAACAAAATGGCTGCCCCCAATATCATCAAACAAACACAAACACACACACACTCACTCACACTCACACTCACACACTCCTAGCCATAAATTATGAACGGTCCCTTATGCTAGAATGGAACACACGGTACAAGAATTTGTATCGAAACGTCGCACACACGAAATAAAAGAAGTTGTTATCCATAACGATTGTCTATATTGTATCAGCTGTTCACAATGGCTGACTATAAGCATGGTTTTACGCCGCTCTTAGCAATATTCCAGCAATATCACAGCGGGGGACACCAGAAATGGGCTCCACACATTGTACCCATATTCCAGCAATATCAGGGCGAGGGACACCAGAAATGGGCTTCACACATTGTACCCATATTCCAGCAATATCACGGCGGGGGACACCAGAAATGGGCTTCACACATTGTGCCCATATTCCAGCAATATCACGGCGGGGGACACCAGAAATGGGCTTCACACATTGTGCCCATGCATATTCCAGCAATATCACAGCGGGGGACACCAGAAATGGGCTTCACACATTGTACCCATATTCCAGCAATATCACGGCGAGGGACACCAGAAATGGGCTTCACACATTGTACCCATATTCCAGCAATATCACGGCGAGGGACACCAGAAATTGGCTTCACACACTGTACCCGTGTGGGGGAATCGAACTCAGGTCTTCGGTGTGAAAAGCGAACGCTGTAAGCACTAGTCTACCCAACCACCCTGTTCACATTGTTGTTTCTCACGTTTGTCCAGATTTGCTGTTTGTTGTTTAACTACTCACTCGCCATGCCAGGATTCATAATCATTGATTGTGTTTTTTTACTACTAAGGATCCGCCGACCCGAAATGTGAAGAAAGTGGGTTTTTTCATTTATTTGTTTTTTTGCCATTATATGCCGCCGACCTGATAAAAAACAAAGAAAGTGAAAGAAATATATACTCACGTCCAAAAGAAACTTGACCCTATTATTTTCGCTCTAAAGAAACTGTGACGTTTTAAACATTGCAAAATACTATGTCCCGAGTTCTCCCGTGTTCATAGAGACTTGAAATTGTATAGCGGGAACGCAACAGTTCCAAAGCATGGTTCACAGGCACGGTTCTTGTAAAATCGGTTTTCTCGCAGTTGCACGAACCGCACGTGCAATTTTTGGTATAAAATGCCCCCATATAACCCTCTGTCATCAGTGTCATTGGAAAACCACAGCAAGAATGCCGAGACTGACAGCAGAACAGCGTGAACGAGCCATCGGTACCATCCAAATGGGGGCTTCTCGTGGGCACGTTGCGAGAACCTTCGGTTGCTCTACCACGGCTATATCCAACCTCATCCAGCGGTTCCAACAGACTGGCCAGACGAGGGACCGGCCCAGATCAGGGAGACCCCGCATCACAACGGCACAGGAAAACCAATACATCCGTAATCTCCACCTACGTAACCGCTGCCTGGCGGCAACGTCAAAGGCAACAACGGCATTGGGTCGCCACCTCAGTCGACATTTAAGGTCACAACAGACGTCTCCGTCCTACGGCATTAGGAACTACAGACCGTACAGAGGAACTTTCCTGACACTTAGACATCGCCAGCAGAGATTACTTTGGGCACGTCAGGTACGACGCTGGCAGAGACGTGACTGGCAAAGGGTAGTCTTTTTCGGACGAGAGCAGGTTCTCTCTGTTCCATAATGACGGAAGGACACGAGTTTACCGGCGAGTGGGCGGACGAATGGCTCCTTGTTGCATTCAGGAGACGGAGCCTTTCGGTGGAGGGGGTGTAATGATCTGGGGATTAATTTATGGAGACTGGACCACTAGATTTGTTGTGTTTGACGAGACACTGACTGGTCAACGCTACATCAACTACGTTTTGAGGCCGGTAGTTCTCCCGTTCTCCCCAGCAGCGAGGGACTCTCTTCCAACATGACAACGCCAGGCCACATGTTGCTAGAGTTGTACAGGACTTTCTTAATCGCAACAACGTCAACGTTCTGCCCTGGCCCCTAAGGTCTCCTGATATGTCACGGATCAAACACCTCTGGGACCACCTCGATCGCCGTATCAGACAACCACTTCCACAAATACGTCGGCAGTTGATCAAAGCGCTGAGGGAGGAGTGGCAGAAAATACCCATCATCGTCATCAGACGGCTGGCGTCATCAATGCGCAGATGTGTGTTTGCATGCATCCAGGCCCAAGGCGTACACACCCGTTATTGACAAAGCTTTTTGACCACTCTGAAAGTCTATGAAAGTGTAAAGTCTTTATCTTTTGGCTATGTAAATTTCAAATTTCACCCCTTCTGTAAATGGCACGTCAATACATCATTGAATGTTCAATAAATCTTGATAAAATTTTGTGATGTGCTTCTCAATAGATTTATGTTCATATTACAATAGGTCTTAGTGACATGGGACTGAAATTCTGCACACAGTCAGTACTTTGTCAGGTATCAAGTTTCTTTTGGACGGGAGTATATATATATTTATATGAAAAAGAAAAAAATAGCAAACTATACTTTTCAAACGTTCCCTGAAACTATTTTATATTTTACAAAAGAAAATCTCACAAATCGTAAGAACTCATAACAAGAAGAAATGACAAACCTGTTTATCCCGCAACCTGAATTAGTGTCTAATAAATGTTATGCATTCAATATGTTGAAGTTTCATATCTCAGAAATGACTACATTTCAAGTTTGAGCTTTCACTGTGCAACCCCTGTTCGCTGTACTTGTAAGTGGGTGTAAGATCTCACTAGGGTCCACTAGGGTCACACTACCATTCAATTTAAATATATTATTCTCTGAGCTGATTTGTCAGACATATTCGCTTTTACCTGTGGAACAGAGAGAAAGGTAATGCCACAGGCTGCTCAGCTGCATGTTGCACCTGGCATATATGATATACTTAAGTGTGCAAATAACATCTCCATCTTCCCTTTTTTCCCTCCCTACCGCCCAAATATTTCTTTTTTAAATCCGTAAATCAAGTAATTAAAAAAGACCTTAGGAAGTTGTGAAAGTTCCAAATATGCTGCATATTTGTGTAAGATGTTTGAGCTGCTTGTGTACACGTGTGAGTGAGAAAATTCATACTCAGTAGTGGAATTATCTTATGTAGCCTTCTCAGTGTGTGTGCCTGTCTTTATTGATCTCTGTTCACTGCTCAAATGTATTCATCGTGTGTCCATGGGTGAGTGAGTGAGTATGATTTTACACCGCCTTCAGCAATATTCCAGCAATATCACGTCGGGGGACACCAGAAATGGGCTTCACACATTGTACCCATGTGGGGAATCAAACCCGGGTCTTCAACGTGACAAGCTGATGCTTTACGTGTCTCCATGAATTCTGCATATGAAAAGTGCAAATTGTAACTAAGGGCCTATTCGATAATGCGAAATCGGTTTTGGTTTCTGGAAAACCATGCACTCGATTGTCGAAACCTAAAACTGGGTTCTGAAACTTCGAAACCATCCCCGAGGCAGGTTTCGCAGTTTCGGTTTCGCGTTCCCTCACAACAAAGATGGTGGAAACGAAGTTCAGCTGATCGTGGTGGCAAAATAGAGCAGCAGTTTCTGTAACCAAAACAATAATGAAAATCAAATGAAAACTAGGAAAATATTATTTAGAACCGCAATCTATTGAACATGACTATTTTATGTAACTTGTATACATATAATTGCCTGTTACAGTATAATTACATATACGCAAATATTTACCTCCAAGAGCATCTCATCTCTTTATTATTTGTTCATTCCCTGATAAAATGACAAAAATATACCTTCGCCAATGCTGTCATCAAATTCCTTCCACATATATAGTAGCTGAGACATTTTTTGTATCCATTTTGAAACCGGATGGTGAAACCATCCACTCGTTTATAAAACTAGAAACTAGTTTCACTTTGAAACCATGTATCCGAAACTGGACACTCGTTTATAACAAGAGAAACCAATTTCAGAAACCAAAACCAGTTTCGCAATGATCAAACAGGCCCTTAGACTTGGATCGCTGTAATCTTGTATATATGTAGTTTGTTTGTAGTTTAAAGCCCCATGCACTCACCAATATTCCAGCTATATGTCGACGGTCTGTAAATAATCGAGTCTGGACCAGACAATCCAGTGACCAACGCATTCATTTTAGCATGTTTGGTATTCTTTGGTAAGAACCACGGTTTTAATTTTACACTTTGTTTCATCAGGGTTAGGTGACCTTGACCAATAAGGTGAGGGGAAAACCCCGGACAATAATAACAAGAACTACAGTCGTTAAAACTGGCAGGATGAATATACACAACATTGTGGCGGTACTACGTTCTATTTTATTTTAAAGAGCATGCTAACGTCGTTTGTTTTCATTTTTTGAACTACAAATTTACCCCGCAAACACATTATGCTTACACTGTGTTAAACTGACAGATCCGTCCCACAAGTAAACAATGTCTTAAGATAACTTTCAGGAGCACAGAAAGCTGAAATTCCTTACTTTCTTTACAAATTCATCCGTAAATCAAGGGCTAGAATAATCGTCAGATAAAATTAGTTTAAAAAGATGTCATTACAAAATAGTTTCTTTTAGACTTATCATCAAGATTTCTTTGATGGGCATTTTAGAAGTTGAGTTGATGAAGAATAATGACAATTATTATGGATATACAACTTCTTTTATTCTGTGGAGGCGACGTTTCGACATAGGTTCTTATGTCATCACTTGCGTGACAACGACATTAGAACCTATGTCGAAACGTCGCCTCCACAGAATAAAAGAAGTTGTATATCCATAATAGTTGTCATTATTCTTTATCATCAAGATATTTATGAAAATAATTTATTTATTGTGTAGTAAATGAAGGAAACATTCGATTGCTGAAATGATAATTCTCAAACTCTGAAAACAGGTTTCGACAGCGACAGTGATGATCCAGTAGGCGGTCGTTATTGTCATTTAGGTATTACAACTAGTCATAGGGAAGTGCTATCTGGTTGACCCGGAAGTTGAAACTGCAGGTGCCCCAAACAGAGCGAGCGTGCAAGGAGCGAAACTTAGAGGATGTCTGACCAGGATCAGGGTGTATGGATTTTTTAATAGTTACAAACTGTTGCTCGGAAATTTCTTTAGTCGTGAAAAGTCTAACCTTTTCCTGATTGTTCATTGACTTCTTGTATTTTGTCAGGACCATAATCAAGAGACATCGGGACCTGGAGATGGTGGCACCGCCAGTGCCAGCGACTCGTCAAGTGAATATATCAAACTGAAAGTTGTCGGCCAGGTGGGGACACTTATGCTAACTGTCACAAGTTTTCACGGAAACAGCATATGGGCAATTGTATAATTAGATCAGTTTCTCCAAAATGCGATGATTAGTTACCGTAATTTTGGATTTGTCAGTGTTGCAAAATAGTGTTCGTTTGTTTATGACCCTATGAAATTCGATCCGGGATAAAGAGATTCAGCATATATTGTCCCCTTTCTTTGGTTGACAAATTTAAAGAAATATCTGTCTTAAGGTAAGTTCTCATTCATCAATATGCAAAATAGCAATAAATATATTATTTTTTTCATTAAAAAATGGCCAAAAATACTACGATGAGTGGTTGTACATCCATTTTGATACTTTTAATGGAAACTGATGAATTGTCGTCCATAATGTCTTGAACATTTGCCCACATTTGGTAGAAAAATAGAAGAATATGTACTTAAATCATGAATTGTCCTAAAACATTTGTTTTTCAAAATATAAATCTGGTTTTGCCATATTAGTCTTCAGTTTAACCTCATGAATTTTGACTAACATATTTGTCCATTCTCCATATGAAACTTATGCTAATTAGTTGATTGATTATGATCACCCCTTTCAAAACCAATGCCAGTGGTCATTCTGCCTTCCTGTTGTTGTTTTGTTACTGACTTAATGAACAGAAAATGCTTGAAGATATATAAAACATTATGGGAAAATAGTTTTATAAAAAACTATTGTTTGAATAATTGTTAGTTGTATTCTGTGGCACTGTTGCTTCTGATTGCCTGAGGTGCTGGAGTAGCCTTGTGGTTCAAGTGTTCATTCATCATGCCTTAGATCCGGGTTCGATTCCCCATATTGTACAAAGCATCAAAACATACTAACTCACATTAGCTCCCAATATATTACTACACATATCACAATATTTGTCAGTACACAGTGATTTTAAATATGATACATGTATTTTAAATATTGTGATATGATTGTCTCATTGAAGTCCTGATTCTAAGGAATGAAAAACAAATATCCATTAAAACCAGTGTGTTAAGCCCATTTCTGGTGTCCACAGCTGTGATATTTCTGGAATATTGCTAAAAGTGGTGTAAAACTAAATTCACTCACTCACTATTGTCATTGTTACATCTTTGTTTCTTTGTAATATTTATTTTTTAGTCACGATATGGCTGAATGTACTTACTACATCTTTTGTTTCTTTGTGGGGAATCCATATCCTAGCAACCAATATTGGTCATAAGAGATGACCAAACTGACTGGATGGCCACTGTTGTTTGTTGATAAGCAACAGCTTGCTTCACAAGACTCCAAAAGCTGTTTACAGGGATGGGGTAGCCTAGTTACTTAAAGCAGCCTTGGCTCGGCTCGTCAACCAAGATCCAGGTTCGAATCCCCACATGGGTACAATGTGTGAAGCCCATTTCTGGTGTCCCCTGCCGTGATGTTGCTGGAATATTGCTAAAAGCGGCGTAAAACCAAACTCAGTCAGTCAGTCAGTTTACAGGGATGGCAGTTTTCTGCTGATCTGCGGATTTCCGCCGATTTTATTTCAAATTATTTCACATTGAGGTTCCATGTGTGTTTGCAGGACAGCACAGAAATACACTTCCGTGTGAAGATGAGTACTCCAATGTTGAAACTGAAGAAGTCGTACAGTGAAAGGATGGTGAGTGGTGGCCATGTACCGATACTGTGTCTGAATCAGTATCCATTTTGAAACTGACCGCCTCCGTGGTGTAGTGGTTGGAGCATCCGCCCAGAGCGTGGAAGGTCGCGGGTTCGATCCCCGGTGGCATCAGACCGAAATACATTAAAATATGGTACTTGTTGGTCCCTGCCTGGTGCTTGGCATTAATGGGTACAACAAGGACTGGTCGGCTCGAGTCCGTGTAATGTATTCATGACTGCGGCATGGTATTCAGTGAGCTAGCACAATAAAACCAGTTGTATAATAAGTGAGCTAGCAGCCACATAAAACCAGCTTTATAATAAGTCTATGGCTAAACAAGTCAGCCACACATATAAACCCAATTTCTGAATATTTTAAGTACAACATTAAACCCATATGCAAATATTGCTTAAGTGCGACATTAAACCCAATTTCGCCTTACCTCACGTCATTTTGAAACTGACATTGTATCTCTATCTGTCACCATAACATGTAACTTAGGGGCCACAGTATGTAGAACAATGGATGTGTATGTATGTCCACTGTCACTCACTGTCAAACACTTAGGCTTCAATATTTCAGAATACGAATCACGCTATATGTAACACAATTTATTTGCCAATATACAGCCATACAGAGTTTGATAACTAATAACTGTGGCATTGTATCTCAGTGTCTTACACTGTAAAACCTCATTAATCCAGATTTACACAAACAGCCACACACATACATACAGGTCACTCTATAAATAATAAACTTGTATTACTCCTTTCACCTCATCAACTACACCAGTCTGGGAATCACTACTCTACATATAAAACTTCATGGAGGTGGGGATGGGTTGGGGTCTTTTATGTAAATGGAAACGTTATTGATCTTAGTTTTTTGTGGTATACCTAGGAGTATTTCTAAATGTATTTCTGCTGGTATTGTATGTAATTCCCTGTCTCAAGGAAAGTAGTATGTATTTATGAAACCTTATTGATGTGAACTCTTTGTGGTATACTGAGGAGTATTTCTAAATGTATTTCTGCTGGTATTGTATATAATTCCCTGTCTCAAGGAAAGTAGTATGTATTTATGAAACCTTATTGATGTGAACTCTTTGTGGTATACTTGAGGAGTATTTCTAAATGTATTTCTGCTGGTATTGTATGTAATTCCCTGTCTCAAGGAAAGTAGTATGTATTTATAAACCTTATTGATGTGAACTTTTTGTGGTATACTGAGGAGTATTTCTAGATTATTTCTGCTGGGATTGTATGTAATTCCCTTTCTTAAGGAAAGTAGTATGTATTTATGAAACCTTATTGATGTGAACTTTTGTGGTATACTGAGGAGTATTTCTAAATGTATTTCTGCTGGTATTGTATGTAATTCCCTGTCTCAAGGAAAGTAGTATGTATTTATGAAACCTTATTGATGTGAACTTTATGTGGTATAATGTGAGGAGTATTTCTAAATGTATTTCTGCTATTGAATGTAATTCCCTGTCTCAAGGAAAGTAGTATGTATTAAAACCTTATTGATGTGAACTTTTTGTGGTATACTGAGGAGTATTTCTAAATGTATTTCTGCTGGTATTGTATGTAATTCCCTGTCTCAAGGAAAGTAGTATGTATTTATAAAACCTTATTGATGTGAACTTTTTGTGGTATACTTAGGAGTATTTCTAAATGTATTTCTGCTGGTATTGTATGTAATTCCCTGTCTAAAGGAAAGTAGTATGTATTTATGAAACCTTATTCATGTATATATTCATGCTTTTTATGGTATATTGAGGAATATTTTAAAATGTATTTTAATGTATTGTATGTAATTCTGTCTAAAGGAAAGTAGTATGTATACCGATCATCATAATGACCTAACTATCAACACACTGGTACATTCTGTTCCAGGGCTTACAGTTAACGTCATTGAGGTTTTTGTTTGACGGTCGGAGAATCAATGACAGTGAGACACCGAAACAGGTAACGTTAACTCTTGATCCTTAGCTGACTAAAGTTTGAGATAAAGTAAAACTGAATGAAATTAAAAACCTAAATGGCTGACCTCACCATTAACAGGGTTAGACACCATTGTCATACCCAGCGAGTACAGTAGTTCCCAAATGCGTAGATCACTCATGCTGTTGATCACTCTATTGTCTGGTCCAGACTCAATTATTTACAGACAGCTGCCATATAACTGGAATATTGCTGAGTGCGACGTTAATCAATCAATCAGTTGTTAAAATAGTAAAATAGGTGCCTTTAGGAAAATTACATTTTGGGTGGTAGTTTTGTTCCAGGTAGGAAAAACAGATTATCATAAGTGACATTTTTGTGACAATTTTGAAAAACGATATTGAAGTGTAATTTTAGCTTTCTAATGTGGCAAGTAAAATTACAATTTGGAAAGAATAATAATTCCCGGTGACTATTCTGTGTTTTCAGCTGGAGATGGAGAACGACGATTCTATTGAAGTTTACCAGGAACAGACTGGAGGCCACTGATATCACATATGACACATCCCCGCGACACCTGTTGTCCACAGACTAAAACGTTGAGCATCCAGTTTGGACACATTCAAAGCTCAACTAGTCCATGAAGCTGGCGCTGAACCAAGTCTACAAGTCCGGGACAGATTTGTAAATTCAGTCTTAACAGTACAAAGGAATCGTCTTATCATTTTTGTTTGGTTAAGACATTTTTGTGTTTGGTTATGTTCCTGATTTTCATGTGGCTTATTTCTCTGTATCTTTAATCTTAGAGCAAAGTGTTGCCATAGTTACAGGAATGGAGCCAGCCAGTGAGCTTGTAAGCTTGAAGACCTCTAATCATTTATGTTCCCTTATTTGTTTTATAATGCTCAAGATAAGTGAAGAACAACCAAAATTGAAAGGCTGTATAAAAATGACAGTCATACGAAAAAAATCAGTTCTTTTCTTATTTTGAGTAGTATGTATATTTTTGTTTTTGGAGGCTTGATGTACTGACAAGTTTCAAACACTGCAGTTAGAGATTGGAAGCTTATATTGCACTGCATGTATCAATAAGAAATCAATGTTTTTGGTTGAGGATTTTAGATTAAAGTTTAGGGGATTAATTGTTTTCAGGCAGAGATCTGTTTTTCCAACCTGAGTGGAATTACCAGGCAATGTGAGATAACATTGTTATGTTCAAATTTATTTTGGTTCTAATCTTTTTCTCCTAAATTCAAAATGGTATATTAACGTGAATGACACAGGATCATTCAAACTTCTGCCTTTTGTTGACGAGGTGCTGCGGTAGCCTAGTGGTTAAAGCGTTTGCTTGTCACGCTGAAGACCCAGGTTTGATTGTACAATGTGTAATTCCTGGTGTCCCCTGCCGTGATATTGCTGGAATATTGCTAAAAAGCAGTGTAAAACCAAACTCATTCACACTAAGGAGATCTAGATTTGCTACATTTAGGGGCTTTAACATTGCAGAAAGGGCTGGGTTGAAGGGAAAAATAATGTTGCTTAGAGCTGTAATGTCTTGGTATGCCTGAATTGTGTAGTACCAGGCTGTGGTGAGTTTAGACAATGCAGTATATATTACTATTGTAGGATAATGTCTTCATTTATTATAAGTTTTTATTTATCATTTTTACCTTATAAGTAACCAGCCCATTCCTTATGGGGACAAAATATTGATTAAGATATTTCATATATACTTCCCATTCAGAGTTTAGACTCACTTGAAGCACTCACTATATGTTATGTATATATATATATATGGTTACATCGAAGATGAATTTCTCCACTAACGTGGGAGAACCAACTGCAAACCTTATGCAGATGAATTGCACGAGGATCATGCTTCAAATTGCTGAAAAGCATGTGCAAATATCGTGCATGTGAACAGCTGCGTTTTGGTATAAAATTTTGTAAAGAATTCGCCAATTTTCACTCAGTTTCATCATTTATTGAACTCATGACAATATTCTTTTCAACGTTACAAATTTGTTTTACAATACATCAGTTCATGTGTAAACAGTACCTTTAAACAGTATGGAATATTTTGCAAAATTTGGTTCAGAACAGTTGACTGTAGTAAGTGGCTACATCAAAGTCTATACTATTGATGGGTAGTATATACTGTGCTTCATGCATACAAGCCTTCACTCCATGCTCTGGGGCACAAGATGCACACAGTGTTAAGTACCTGGTAGATTGTTGCAGTGATATGAATTGCTACTGAAAATGTATTTGGGTGTTGGAACAGCGTTTCTCAATTTGGTTCCCCTTGATTCAGTACATGCATGTTGAACATATTTGCTTGTTTTGATAGATTTCAGATTACATGAATAAGCATATACTTTGTATGTTTGGCTGGCCGAGTAATGCTGTAGACAGTGTCCAAGATGGAAGAATAACTTTTGAGATGTTTTGGTGTACACGTATGTTGAGTTTTGTATTTTCGTGAAACGTCTAGACATTGTAAATGGCTTGGTTACCTCTTTCATTTGTTTGCCAAATCTCATTGAAATCAGATCTTAGTGCTCACTACAGCTACTCAAAGATCTGGGGACGAACTTCAACTTCTTTCAGTGGTATTTAGGGGTGAGGTGAGGTGAAATGGGGTTTAGCATCGCACTTAAGAATATGTCACTCATATGACAATGTGCATGTGTGTGTATGTGTGGCTACTTGTACTAGCCCAGACTTAATAAGATGGTTTTATAGTGCTAGCTCACTGAGATACCATGCCGCAGTTAAGCATGAATACCCCACTCAGACACATTATACTGACTCAGAGCCGACCAGTCCTTGTTGTACCCATTAATGCCGAGCGCCAGGCAGAGACCAACAAGTACCATATTTTAACGTCTTTTTGAATGACGCAGCTGGAGATCGAACCTGCAACCTTCCGCTCTCCTGGCGGACGCTCTAATCACTATACCACAGAGGCGGTCAGTGGTATTTCACTTACATTAAAAGTAAAGAAGTTGTATATCCAGAGAACTTTCCCCGTTGTTTAAGTACGAACTTTGACTAACCAATGAAATGAGAGTAAACAATCGCTGAGAATAGCGTTTTGTCAGTATTCAAGGATGTCAGCTTGCGGAAATATTAGCTAATGATAGCCATGTCAACAGAAACCCAAAAGCGTATATTCTGCAGGTCATATATCTGTGTTTTATGCTTGGTTTTCATTTGTTATGAGATCAGTGTTGGCAACCGGGGAAGAGAAAATCCATTTTGTAAGTCCTGCCAAACCCTAAATAGTAGCCGTTGTCTGATTGGTTAAATCCGTTTGTCCGTCTCACATTTGATTGGACGGTCATAGGTTGCTCAAAGGTTACCTGACGCGACCTGCCACAAGGTTTTGTTAGACTCAGTATAGCAGTGTAACGAATAATACTGAGCCTAAGTTTACTTAGACAGTTCCAATAGATGGTATTGTATGGCAGTATGGGAATCCCGTTAATGTGGTCCATTTATTTGTGAGGTTAGGGCTGGGACGGGTACTCGGGTACTCGAATCCGGGTCGGGTACAGCGTGAATCGAGGCCTATTTGTATGAATGGAGTACCTGGAAAGGGAGAGAACTCTGTAATGACAAGGGCAGATAATAGCTTGTCTTTTTCATTATTGACGTAACACACGTTTACATCATTGGTATTGTCCGATTAATGGAGGTTATTATCAACGACTAATTTATCTGCGCATGAGCAGTGAGGAGTCAAAGTTACAGTAACAGCGGAACGAAAAGTTCTGTGTTTTAACGATAAATGTAAGTAATGGTGTTACTCTTTATATTGGGAAAACAGACGTAAATTAAATAGCTCAGTTTTAATTACCTATTGCCATCCTTGCAAGTTTTCTGTAATAATTTCTGTTAACTCGTGATTGCATATTCAGAAAGTTGACAGAAGCACTTTATTCCTTACATTTCCGGGTACTCGATTCCATTTTTTCCTACCTGTCCGAGCCCCATATATTTGGACTTGTACTTTTGTTATTGCCATAGCAAATTCCCTTTACGTGGAAGGTCATTCAGATATGACCTCTGATAAGAAGTCTCTACATGTTTTATAGCACATGTGAGCACTAAGATCATGTTTGAATGAGATTGTCATTTTTTCATGTTTCCATGGTTACTGTTTTTGATGAAAACTGATTGCAGTCAGTTTTGTAGACAAAGCGAGGTAGAGTGGTTGGTTGGTTTCTTATGTCTCATGATTCAGGGCTCAGTTCAGTGTGTTTAGCTATGTTAAACATTCATGAGTAAAGCCTGTTATTGAAAAATGTATTTCTTCATGTAAAAAAAATGTCAAATTTGTGCCTGATGTACATTAACTTGTGATCACTTCATTGATGTTTAAACTCACATAAAACTTCAAAATTTATTTACATTACAACGTCACTTATCCATTTATGTATGTAGTTTGTCATGATTTTGTAGACTTGATGTCATCAAACTATGGTCCTTTCTAGACAATATACACAATTTTCTGTTACGTTTTAAAGCAGCGCATCATTTATTTATGTGACACTATCCACACACACACACACACACACACACACACACACACACACACACACACACACACACAGAGGTGTGTACAAAATTGATGACCTCCCACAGAGGTGTGTGACACAAAGTGATGACACTCCCCAGAACAGAACAAAATGTGTGACACACACACTCTCGCGCGCATGCACACCACACCACACCACACCACACCACACCACACCTTTTTAAAAAAAAGTTATCATCACCTCTTTAGCCATAAATTATGGACTGTCCAGGGTTATCCCTGGTTTTGTTTGGCGGGACTTGGTGTTCATATCAACAGCCCCCAAGTTAAATCAAGTCCCGTAAAATCGGAGTTTACATGTTGGACGTTTTCGTATGTTGTCATGTTCGATAAATTTTATTGAGTCAAATCTTGTGGTAACTGATATGTATGTCATGGGTTAGAGGATGTCCCCAGTTACCTATGGTTGTTGTTAGAGGCGATTTAATGTGGATTGGGTGGTCAGGTTCTATGATTTCATTGACAGCGTCTCATTGTATCAGCGTGTGAATCATTATCACAGTATCATCACAAGGTTGTTCCTGACACGTTAGGGGCCGCCATCATATAGCGCTAAGCAACTTAACCAAAATACTGAAACCTGAAGAAGTGCCCTCTATTCCACAGGATTATTCCAGCTATTTTGCAGCAATCTGTCAATAATTGAGTCTGGACCAGGCAATCCAGTGATCAACAGCATGAGCATCGATCTGCGCAATTGGGAACCGATGACATGTGTCAATCAGTCAGTGAGTCTGACCACCTGATCCTGTTTCTTGCCTCTTATGACAAGCATGGGTTGCTGAAGATCATTTTTGTAAGAATAAGTTCTAATAACTGATGCTGTCGTAAGATGTGACAAAATAGTTTGGGTGGCCAGGTTTGTTGACTGGACTGATTGGTGTTATCCCAACAGGATGATCTTTGTTCACACTATCAATCACTGGATCGTCTTGTCCAAACTTTATTAGTTACCAGCTGCCGTCTGGAATATTGCTGAGTAATGTTGGGAATCGGAAACCAAATCGACTGTCGATTATCGGAGGACTTGTGGTGAACGATTATCGATTGTAATTGATATATATAAATAAGTTTTTAATGTAATCACCAATTTTTAGCGTTTTCCCCAAGGCAATTTCTAATTAATGTTTTTTATAACTAATACTGTCATGCAATGAAATGCATGCATGCAAGAAAGACACAGGAAATGTAATTAAACAATAAAAGTGGTTAAATTTTAAAATGCTAACTGTCATCTTTTCATTGCTTGATTGTTTTATTCTATATCATTAAATATGTATACCATCATTCATTCAGTGAGTGAGTCTATGTATACAATGCGCATAGCTTTACACTGTTGAGCG